GGGGGCCCACTCTTCCAGGGTCATCGACATCCTGGGCTGTGCTGAGGCAGGGCTGTCTCACTCAGTCTTTCCAGACCTGCGGGGGCAGCACTTGGGAGGCCTAGCTGAAGCATGCAGTTCTGTGGTGCTGCTCGGGCACGGACTCCATGCACAGTCCACTTGACACATTCTCACACTGTGGCTGGAGACCCATTTTTTCCATCCCATGTGGAATGAGAATCTTGAGTTACCCATGGACAGACTTGACCTTTGTGCCAGAGCTGTGAGTGAGTTTTGTCACTGAATTGCCTGTCCCTGAGCTTGGCCTGCTGGAGCATGATGCTAGAGGCTGTGTGCGGGCAGGCTTGCGCTCCTCTGGGAGAAGGGCTGCTACTTCTTGAGAAGGAAGTCCTGGCCACAAGAGCCCCCCGCTGGCTGCAGAAGACAAAAGCAGGAAGCACGTCATGTATCCCACATGCACTGGGGCACGGCAGCCAGGTTCCAGAGCAGCAGGCATGTGCATTATGGGTGCCAGGTGGCCAGTGAGGGCCCGAGGACCACACAGCAGAGTCCCCCACGGGCCTGATCCTGAGAGCTTAGAGGGTTCCTGCCTGGCCTCAGAACTGTGTGTGCAGGACAGGGTGGCTGGCACGAGATGTGTGGGACTGGGACGCTTCCTTTGGGGACCAGAGGAACATTAGGGCCAGTCAGATGCGTAGGGGGCAGCGAGGCAATGGGGTAAAGTGGACCATGCAGGCTGCAGAGGGTGGGCCTTGGGCTGGCCAGGGGTTACTGGGTGGCCCCTTCCCCATGCGCCTCCACAAGCACTCAGGCCACTGGCACGTCAGGCCAGTCAGAATGTCCACGTGGCAGAACTGCCTGGAACACCTGTGGCTCCAGGAGGCCCTTGGGGGCATGAGGAGAGCTGGACTCGCTCATCTATCCTTGCACCGCCATCCAGAATGCCCCCGTTGCAAGGCCTGCTGCAGCCCCCAGTCTGACCAGCAAGTCCCGGGGCCACCCTTGCCGAACCTTGTGCTCCAGGGGTCCTCCTACCCCAGGACCACCTTGCCACAGTTTCTCGGAGACCAGGTGCCCTCTGACCTGCCATGTGGAGGTGGGATTTGATACTGTACATTGTCCTGATGCCTGTTTTTTTTATGTTTTCCTTTCATTAAGGGTTTTTAGTTTTTGGTTGGGTTGACACTAACTTTTCTTAAGATGCTGTGAGAACCATTTCATCCAAATGCCAAATAAACTTGTGTTCTGGAAGAAGCATGGTCAGTCCTTGGTGTGACCCCCACAGCTGCCACAGGCTAAGGTGGAAGAGACTGGGTACCCACCTTTCAGCAGAATGCTCCTAGGGTTTGCAGCCCTTGCAGGCGTCCAGCAAACCCCCTGAGGACCAGGCAGAGCTGAGCCTGGAGCCCCCAGGTAGGGTGTGCAGGGAGAGCAGCAGCCCTGAGCTGCCTACAGCTATCCTGCAGCACCCAGCCTCGCTCGGGGCATTGGCTGCTGCCTTGGCAGGTGTTGCTGACTTGCACAGGATCCACATAGAGGCTGCTTGACACCATCTGGGAGCCAGCATGGGATGGGGTGTCGGCAGGGCTTGGAACCGGGCCGTCAGCCCCATCTGCTCTAAGCTCCCCTCATCATCCAGGTGGCTGGAAACAGCCCCTCCCTCCAGTCCAAGCCACCTAGTGTTACAAAGTAGCCTAGGTCTTCTGCAGCCTCTTCACACATGTCCAGCAGTGCCGTCTCTGGGTGTCAGAGGGTAGGGGGCCCAGGAAGTGTGATTGCATGCCCTGCTCTGGGGGCATTCCAGGTGTGTATACTTGCGGGAAGTCCGGCGGCCGGACGTGAGAGGGATCAGGGTTAGGAAAGGAGCTGGTAAGTCCCTTGGCAGGGATGGGAGCCTCAAGGATGCGGCCCCTCATTTTTTATCCCATCTTCTGGGGCAGGAGTGGAGTGGTGGTGGTGAGTCCTGGGCACACAGGTTGCTGTCAGCACCCTGGACAGAGCCCCGAGCCCTGCCCCTGGGTAAGGGCCGTCTTCCCATCCCCAGTGTGGGTAGGGCCCTGCCCTCTGGCGATTGGAAAGAGGCGTGGGGTGTAAAGAAGTCGCCTCCTCTGACCTCCTGTCTTGGCCTGGATCCACAGGGGGGTGCTGGGTAGGAGGCAGGCTGTGGTCTTGGGATGGGGTGGCAGTTCCAGGCCCATAGTGGGGCAAGAGACGTCCTACACCTTCCTCCTATCCTTGCCCCGAAAGTCATGGGTGCTGGGGTCCAAGGTGCCCTCACTATTTGACCTTTCTTGCTGGTGGCTTTGGTGTGTCATTCGGGTCCCCAGCCTCTGTTTCCTGGACTGTAAGTGGGGATAATAATAGGTCACCCCTCTCCTGCAGGATTAACCTCAGCGATTGTTGCTGGCACTCAGTGCAGCCCTGGGACCAGAGCACACCTGGGTGAGTTTGGAGAGCTTGCTGTCTTGGTGGCCCTGCCTGGGGACTGCCTCCTCGCACCCTCTCCTCAATAGCCATGCCCCTAGCCCACCTAGCTAATGAATACATACATAGCAGCCAGGCCAGCAGCCTGGCCACTTTCCTGTCTTTCCTAGCTGCGGCTGCCACTGAGCCACAAGCGCCCCTGGCATCGTGCTCGCCTTCCTTGTGGTGCAGCTGGTGTGGCGCAGACTCTGAGAGTGGGCACCAGGACTCTGCCTGTCTGGTCTCCAATCTACCCTCTCTTGCCACGCTCCACCACCCCTTAGGTCTTGCCACTGGGGGTGGGGAGGGACTGGGGGCAGAAAATACTGGGGTAGGGGTGACAGGAGAGAGGGTTCTTCACTGGCCTCCCCTGGCCTACTTCATTCTTGGACTCCAGCTGATGGCATGGGGCTTAGAGAGGGCCCAGACGACTGGCCTCTCAGCTCAGCCCCCTGCCCACTGTCTCCATAGGCGCCTGCTCCTACGACTCCCAGGACCCCAAGTGTGGTGAGGACAGAGTGTCATGTGAGGCTGTGTGAGATCAGTCTGTGTCCTGGGACCACCAGAGCATGTGCCTGTGGTGCAAGAGTGGCCAAGAGACAGTCTGCACCCTGCACTCTGTGGTCTTTGCAGGTTTCTGTCTATAGTCCTCTGCCCCAGTGACTGGGCATCAGTGCAAATGTGTGACTGTCCCCCTGTGCGTGAGTCTGGGCCTGCTGTGACTGTCGGTCCTGAGTCAGTCAAGGCTGGTGTGCCACTGTGGCCAGCCCAAGCGTGTGCAGGTGATAGAGGTCCCAGTGTGGGTGTGCAGCTGTGTGCTGGAGACCCTTCCACCTTCATCTCACCATGGGGCAGTCAATCCGGAGACTAGATGGCTACGTCAGATGCAGGGTACAAGAGACGGGGGGCGCTGTGACCTGTTCAGGTGTGGGGGAAGCAGGGAGCTGGGTTTCCTGAGGCTGGGCTATCCTCTGGGTATATGGGGGCCACCCTCTGCTGCACCCTCAGGCTGCCTCCCTGACCCCCCACCCAAAGACCGCAGTCCTTGTTCTCACAGGTCCCACCCACTGGAAGAAGCTGGCCCCAGCCTGTGGAGGCCCAGGCCAGTCCCCCATCGACACTGACCTTCACAGGGTCCAGCGGAACTCTACCCTCGAGACCTTCATCTTCCAAGGCTATGACTCAGCACCTTGAGGGCCTTGGACCCTGGAGAATGACAGCCACACAGGTCAGCACCCTGCGGTCAGGATCCCTCCTAGGCAGGGGCAAGAGCTCCACACAGGGCATGAGAGCTCCTGCGTGTACATAGGGACCAGGACCCCCTACACACGGGAGCTGAGACACCCTACAGGGCCAGAAACCCTCCACAGGGGCTAGTTCCACAGGGAAGGAGCATCCTCACACAGCAGTCCAGATGCGCCCTCTGTGTAGGCGCCAGGCCCCACCCTACAAACCACAGCCAGCCGTGGCCCCTGAGGACCAGGAGTCAGGGTCTCTGGCAGGGCCAGGATCCCTGACCACACACAGCTGGGCTCAGCCCCACTCCAGGAGGGCTGCCCTCTGCCCTTTCCTTGCCATGCTGGGTGTAGGCAGGGAGGGTTTCCCCTGCAGTCTGTGGAGCTCTGCTCTGCTGACCAGCAGGAGCCCTGGACACCATGGGTCCCATTCAGTGGAGGCAATGGGGCCCCACTGGGAAGCAGCCTGGCCTGAGGAAGGGCTTCTGCCCATAACCCTGCGTCCTAATGGCACCAGGTGGGCAGGTGGTGAGGTAGAGAGGGTGTCATGTGCCTCCTCCCTGTCATTGCTACTCTGAATGGACGCTGATCCTCAGAACCACCTGGAGATTCGGGGGGCTGGGCTGCTGTCGCCTGCCTACCACACACTGTAGCTGCACTTCAACTGAAGGGGGGCTGGAGCTGAGCAGACTGGGAGCACGGCCAGGACAGGCAGAGCCAGGCTATGGAGGTAGACTCGGGCACGAGGTGGGGTGGCCGGAGTGCTCCCACGGAGGTGAGAGAGAGCAAGGTGGGGGCACCTGGGTGTCTCGCCCCATACCACTCACGTATAAGTTCCGCCCACAGCAGCTTCTTAAGGGGCACGCCGTATTGGCCTCCTCCAGAGCCTGGGTCCCAGCAACAGGCCCCTGCTCTTCCCCCACCCTAGCAGGTGTGCACTGGGCTCTGATGGGCCTGGGGCTCAGCTTGTGCTTCTGTCAACCGTGGGCGACCCTCCATGTGAAATAAACAATGAAATAAACAATGCACAGAGTGACCTTAGCCTAATGTGGCGTAGTCGGGGGGGTGTGTGTGACCTGGCGCGGTCCCCTACTGCAAGAGGAGCATTTCCTGCCCTAATCCCACTGAGGCCTCAGTGTGCCTGTCTGTTCCATGGGAGCCCTCTGAGTGACCCTCTCCTACCTCACCAGAACCCGCGATTCTCCAGGTTCCTCTCAGAGGGGGAAGGGCCCCCACCCTTATCCTACACATTGTGTCTGACTCCCCTGGTCAGATGGAAGGAGAAAATCTAGCAGTCAGAAATTCCACGGTTAGGCCAAGATTACATTATTTTATTTAAAAAATAAGCTGGGTGACCAACCCAGGGACACTGTGCTCTGCTAAATGATGACTCCAGCTACATTTCCCGAGGCCAAGAGATGAGAAGCTGCTGGCTCCAGGCTCCGCTGCAGGCTGTCCTGGCTGAGTGGGTGCTGGGCACCACAGAGGGCTGCCTGGTGTTCCGAAGCCATGGTCCCGGTGCCTCCCTGGGAGTTCTGCTGTGGAGTCTGCATGGAGGGTGAGTCTGGAGAGATGTTCGTGCCCGGGTGGCTGCCTGTGGTCTGGCTAAGGGGTGAGTATTCTTGGTGTCACCACCCAAAGTAAAGCTGGGTCCACGGGACACGGATTGGGTGAGGCTCTGTGTCCAGGTGATGCTGTCCAGTGAGAGGGGTCGCAGTCAGAGTGAGGGTGATCGGAGGCCGCTGTCCAGTTGGTGCCGTGTGGAATGTGATTACATACTGGTTGACACCGTCCTGAGGGACATCACCAGCTGCGTGTCTCAGCCATCCTGTGTCCCTGGGTTCTGTGCCCTTGTGTGTGGGTGACACTATTCCAGTGCGTGGAGACCCTGCCTCCTCATGAGACCTTGAAAGAAACAGAACCTGCAGTCACCCCCAAGGAAGGGGAGTCTCAGCTGTTCCCTGGAGGCTGACCCAGCCCTGACCCAGACCCAAGGCCCAAAGGCCCCACTCTAAGGTCCAAAGGGGCTCCACCCCATTCTCTAACCGGACTCAGTCTCTGGCAAGGACCCAGGCTGCCATCCGCACTCCCCAGACGCACGTGGCCCAACCTCCGCCTGTCCCGCGCCCACCCCCTCCCTCCAGTACCAGAGCCCTAGCTGGCGACACCCGGGCACCCTCCTGGCTCAGAGCCACGCTCCACGAGGGGGACCGATCTGTTCACTTGCCCCGTCCTGGGGGTACCAGAGTAGCCAGCGCGACGCCTTCCGCACCTCGCCTAGGCCGCCCTTGTGCGGCCTTCCTCAGTCCCTGCCGCCTTGCGGGACCCCAGGAGGCACCGTCATCTTCTTGTGGTTCTTCCCGGCCGGGGTTCGGTGCGCTCCGCCGTCTGCTGGGCCGTCCGGGGCGTCGTCTGCGGTCCTGGAGGCGGCGACCAGGGCGCTCATGGCGCCGAGCGTCCGCAGCAGGGTCGGGTTGCGGGGCGCGGCACGGAGGACCACGCAGGGCTCGCGGCTGGCAGGGGGGGACGACGGCGGCGGCGGCGGCGGCAGCAGCGCGCGCAGGGCGTCCAGCTCCGCTCGAAGCTCCGCGCGCAGCGCCTCAATCCCGGCGCCCAGCTCCGCGCGCACAGCCGCCAAGCCCTCCTGCAGCCGCCGCTCGCTCACCTCCAGGACCCCCGCCGGGTAGGTGGCCCCGCCACGCGGCTCCCCGCACACCGAGCACACTGAGTCGCGGCTGTGCGCCCCGGTCCTCTCGCCCACGCCCGCCGTCCCGGCCCCCGCACGCTCCACCAGCTTCAGCAGCCGCGGCACCTCGGACCGCGAAGCTGCCTGGGCCCGGAGCTGGCCTCGCAGGCGAGCCAGCCGGCCCGGGGCTCGGGCGTCTTCCCGGCCGGGCCCATTGGATTGTGGCCCCGGGTCCCGCCGGCGGCCGGCGCCGCGCCGCAGTACCTCGCTGGCTCCGTACGCACTTTGCGCCTGGGCCCCAGGCTCCGCCATCCGCACTGCTGCCTCCACAGCCGCCAGCGCCCGGGATGGCCGGAAGCCCCAGGCTGCAGCCTAGCGACCGCTGGGCCCCAGGCTACGCACCGTGGAGGGGGCCCTCGGGATGGCTGTGGGAACGACCAACGCCCTAGGGGATCCGGCCTGGGGTGCGGTGAATCCCGGCGGGGCAGGGTCCTGGGCAGCTGGGTTCCCAGGGGACCCTGCCAGAACGACGGCGTTGTGGGCAGGATCTCACCAAGGGCATGGCCCAGTTTCTGGGCAGAGGTGACATGGAGCATCGCCAGCTGAAGCCCAGGCACCACCCGCTACACACAAATCAGGAACTGAGCTCACGTTTTCCACTGGAAGCTATGGAGACAGTTCTCCATCATAGTCAAGGGAAGACCAGGAGTGGTCATGGTTCCCACAGCCCTTTTCAGTGGCTCAGGGCGACCTCCTTCCATGTAGTCCAGGCCATTATCTCCTCACCCTGTCCCCTAGTCCACACAGCTGGAAGAATCCATCCAGGTGACATCTCCAGCCCCAAGCTGCTGGCCCTTCCATGCGAGCTCTTCAGGGTCTCCCTTACTCTCCAAGGCGGCCCGCCTAGGGCCTCTGGAAATCCCTGGCCATCTCAAGCTGGGTTTTTTGTTTCGTTTTGTTTTTATAAACAGGATTTTGCTGTGTTGCCCAGGCTGGGGTGCAGTGGTGCAATCAATCATAGCTCAATGCAGCCTCCACCTCCTGGGCCCAAGTGATGCCCCCACCTCAGTCTCCTGAGTAGATGGGACTATAAGTGTGCACCAGCATGTCCGGCTAATTTAAAATTATTATTATTATTATTATTATATTTTGTAGAGATAGGGTCTTACTGTGTTTCCCAGGTTGGTCTTGAACTCCTGGCCTCAAGTGATCCTCCTGTCTTGGCCTCCCAAAGTGCTGGGATTACAGGCATGAGCCACCATGTCCAAGCCTGTCTGTGCCTTTAACCTCCTCTAATCCAACAGTCTTCTTCATCCTTCTGGGTCTTTGCATAGTTCCTCTCCCCCCCCCACCCCTCCTCTCCACCATTTTCCTGGTGGCTCTCACTTTTCCCACTTGGGTAGGGAAAAGTTCCTTGACCACCCCATCCCACACCGGGGACCTCGAGCCCCTTCTCCACAGCACCCTTCACAGTTCTATTTAAATGACTCTTTTCCTTCCTCCCACAGTGGGGTCTCTGAGCCCAGGGCTGCGTCATCTCTCCTGGGCTGAGTGTGGCACTAAGCATGCTGAGTGCTAGCCTGCACAGAGGCCAGACCTGGGTGGGTTCCAGGACACAGCTGTCAGTGGCTGTCTTGCCATGGAATGAGTGGATGAATTAGTGGGGCTGGGATCCTCTCCCCTTTTACAGTAGGAGGCTGGGGGAGAGGAGCTGGCCAGCCTGTCCACCTCTGCAGCCTGGCATCTGAGGCCCTCATGGCATCTCTGCTGGCCTGCCTTCCGCTGTAGCCCTTCCACCCTTTGCGGGACCCTCTCCACTGCACCCCATTCCTTCTCACCCCAGTGCCTTTGCATAAGCAGTGCTGCCTGTGGCCACCACAGGGCCCTAGGTATGGGCAGAGGGTAGTATCTCCCACACAGCATGTTGTTCTCCCTGTACCCCCAGGGGCTAGTTAGCACTCTGGGTGCCCTGGACCCTGGGGCCTCCCTCAGCAAATTGTGGAGGCTGGCCTGGCACGAATCCAGGCTGATCTGGGAAGGGACATAGCAAGACAGTCCCTGGAGAATGTGTCCCCAGGTCCACCGGGGTCTGGCCTCTGCAGGTCAGTGCACGTGTGCGTGTGTGGGTGGGGGGATTGAGGGGATCGCTAATGCTGTCCTTAAGCAGCTGCTGAGGAGAAGCTGGGTACCTCTAGCCATGTTCATTCACGCAGTCACTCCCTGCAGCCCGTCTCTCTGGAAGGTACAGGAGGAGGTGAGAATTGGGTATTCCGTCAACCCCTCAGACTCTCCCATTCCTGCTGAGTCACCTGTGCCCTGGGACCTCCAGCAGCTGGCTCTACTGATCCCTAGAGCCTCATTAGCCATTCTCTCCCTCCCCCGCGTCATTAAAACACTGCCAGCAAAAGAGCCCTGGGTTCTTTCCCCAGCCCTGCTGGAGACCCAGGGGCTCTGCCCTCTCTGAGCCAAGTCTTCACCTGTGAAATGAAGAGATCTCTGAGGTCCCCAGGAGGGATGATGGGGAGGCGTGGATGGTGGAGAAGGTGCAGGAGAGAGTCCGGATTTGCAGAAAGAGCTGTTAGTTTTGTGATCTCTGCCTGGAGGTTTATGGACAGGCTGAAAGAGAAGCTGAGCCTTTGCAATGAGTCCAGATCAGGGTTTGTTCCTGCAGGGGCTCCAGATGTGGGGGCTGGCACTTGTGACAGGGGGTCCCAAAGTCATGGGCATAGAGAAGATAGGTTGGCAGGAGCAAGGGCAGAATGGGAGCGGGGTCCTGGGGACCCTGTTGGGCCCTGAGGAGGACTGCGGAGGTGTCGGTGAGGGGTGGACATGCAGGCGTGTCAGCAAGACCCTGAGCCCCTGAGCTCAAGTGCAGCGGTGGCCGTAAAGCAGGTTGTGGGGACCCTGGCTTGAGCTTCATTGGTAGCAGGGCTGGGGTGGAAACCGGGGACTGGCGGAGAGGAGATGGGGTGGGGGCTGGCCAAAGCAGTGTGTCCCTCAGGGAGCGTGGCAGAGCGGCAGAGCGGGACGTGCACACAGTCTGTTCTCCACTTCCTCTGGGAAGTTCCTCAAATTCAGCCAGCCACAGCTGCCCCGGCACCGAGGAGCTGACTGCAGCTCCAGTGCAGGGCCTGCTCCTTCCGCTCCTGTTCCCTTCAGTGTGCCCTGGGCCGGGGCCAGGAATGGTGGGGGTGAGGAGGCTGGCTGTGCCTGTGGGAAGCCACCAGCTCCCAGGGCTGTCCCTGGGCCCAGGCTGTAGCTCTGTGCATTCAGGCATGCAAGCTGGGTGGGTGACTAGCCACCTTGCCCCTCAGTAATGCATTCACAGTGGGGGGGTCAGAGGGAACCCCAGGGCTCCTCTGCTTAGCTGGGCCAGGGGTCTTGATGGGGCAGTCTCTCCGTGTGACTTAATTGTCATCACCTTTGTGCTCTATGGCTATTAAATAAAACTTCGCGGCCAGGCACGGTGGCTCAAGCCTGTAATCCCAGCACTCTGGGAGGCCGAGACGGGCGGATCATGAGGTCAGGAGATCGAGACCATCCTGGCTAACACGGTGAAACCCCGTCTCTACTAAAAAAAATACAAAAAAACTAGCCGGGCTCAGTGGCGGGCGCCTGTAGTCCCAGCTACTCGGGAGGCTGAGGCAGGAGAGTGGCGTGAACCCGGGAGGCGGAGCTTGCAGTGAGCTGAGATCTGGCCACTGCACTCCAGCCTGGGCGACAGAGCCAGACTCCGTCTCAAAAAAAAACAAAAACAAAAACACAAACTTGGCAGCCACCTTGGCTGGAGGTTTTATGTCCCAGAGCCCAAGGGCAGTTGGGAGCCAGGGGAGCGCTCAGACGGTAGGGCCAGGCGAGCTCTGTGTGTGGGAGGGAGCTATGGGGGCCTCTGAGGGCTGCTGCAGGGACCCAGCAGGGCCGGGGTGGAGGCAGAGAGTGTGACTGTGGCTTCACCGTCATCAGAGTGGAGGTAGAGATGCGGGCAGAGTCCTTGAAGCTGGCTCAGGGGTCTGTGTGGGGACAGGGCACACCCAGCAGGGGCCTGAGGGTAAACTAGGGAGGCAGCAGGGTCTTGGAGCTGTCTCCCAAAGGTGGTGGGGATCCCCAGGAAGGGCAGGGAACAGGAGCAGCCAGCAGGTACAGCTGATCTGCCCTGAGGTCCTGGACACACTGGTCGGGACAGGAAGGCTCATCTTGGAGCTGGTCCTGGAGAGGTCATGTGGGTCACGGCCCCTGGCCCTCTGCTCAGACCACAGAGCACAGGACACTTGTCCGTCCTTTGCTGCGACTGTGCTGCTTGCTCTGGGAGCAGCTGCTGCTGGGCCTTAGGAGGAGGAGGGAGGTTGGCCTGGCTGGGGCCCAGCCCCTGCGTCCAGGCTCTTAGAAGGGAAGGTGATGGTCCTTTTAGGCCCCAGGAGGGCGGGCTGTGTAGTGGGGCCTCGGTGCACGTAAGCTGGCAGGTCTAGCTTGGGCTTTGCTCAGGACACTGGGTACTGGGTTCTGGGTTCAGAGGCCTCATGAAAACACCTAGCCTCAGTTTCCTCATCTGTCAGGACCAGCAGCTGACTGGGAGGTGTGTGTGACCATGGTAGCGGCCGGCTTAGTCTACTGCAGGAGTCCTTGCCTCCCAGACCCCTGAGCTGACCTCTTCTTTGAGAGCTCAGAGAGGAGAATGACTTGCTCCAGGTCTTACTGCAAGGTCTGGGGCTTCCTGTGGGGACTCAGGCACACTTTGTCCCTGAATACCCGTGCCCTGCCCACTGGACCCTGGAACTGTGCCCCGGCCTCCTGTGACACTGGCTAGCCAGATCTCTGGGAACCGTCCCAGGGCAGGTGG